CAACCGATTTTCTTTGTCTCGGGCATCAACAGCAAGTGGCAGCCTTTTGAGTCCAGGGTATGTTTGTTCCTGTTGCTGTTGGATATGTTGCTGATCACCTGGTCAGGGAGACAGATATTTGCCTTTTGCCAGTTACTGTCTTGCACCGCTGATGTTAATGAAGTACAGGCAGATGAAATGGGGTCATCTTGCAATCCCTGGGCTGGCCAAAGGGGTTCTACTGTCGGAATCCTGCAGGACTTGACATGAAGCTCAAGGACTTGCCTCTGCTCTAAACCTTCTTACACCAGATACAAATCAAGTAAATCACCTAGGCTTTGGCTTCCTCTGCATCGTGACAGAGACATTGGGTAGCTCTTGAAACTCCTCCTGGTTGTCTCTAGTTATAGAGATTCTGATCAACCCTGGGAACGAGTCCTCTGGGTGTGCTTTTGTGATAAAGGGGAGCAGGTCTGATGGGACATGTGAGATGACATTCTGCTTTCAGGCCTCTGGAAGCTTTTCCTCAAACTACCTGTTGGAGAGAAATGAGCTTGAGATCACTCAAAGTGTATCTGCTAGTCATTACAGCTGTAGAGAAGGCTTTTTCTGTGTTGTTTCATTCTGTGCAAAGTTTCTGAAAGAGCTGGTGAAGGTCTTTCTCCCTGTCAGAGACCTCATTCCTCAGTGTTAATGTATTTTGTTGGCAGCTTTAAGAAGAAACCTAGTTATCGTCCCAGCCTAGAATGAAAAGGAGGTTCAGACCCTACTGACATATTTCTCCATATATTATATCCTTGAGGAAAAGACTTATCTCCTGGAGCTACCCTAAATTCTGTCCCTAAATTGGCAGGTTTTGCACAGAGAGTGACTTTAAAACATCTTGCAGAAGAACAGTTGGAGGCAATCAGCACTTTCCTGCCTAGAAGATCCAGCTACTTTGAAGATGTGCAGCTGATGTTCTGTAGAAATTATTCCAGGATTTAGACAAGCCTGATTCACTGGTTTGATTTGGAATTAGAGCAAAATCATATGCATCTCTTAAAAATGGAGTTTGGCACAGGTGAAAAAGAGATGTCATACTGTGATAAAATTTTTTTTAGAGAATTTTTGTGGGCAATCTGAACCTGAAATGCATCCGTTAGTGATAATAAATATTGCTTTAATCCATCCAATTCATAATGTCAAGAGCTTTATTCATTTTTATGTGAAAATGTAACAAAGATAGTGGTCATTCAAGTACTTCCAAATCTCAGTGTTTTTATAATTTGCAATAGATACTGGTTTTGAAGGGTGTTTAACAGATGTGTTTAAATTCTGCTTAATTACCTGGGAACTTGTAGGCAAGGTGAATGACATGAAACCTATGGAGATTATTTGTGGTTTTATTTGTATTATAAACTTAAACTGAATTTCTTGACTTCAGTGGAACCATTTTGGTGCACTGAAGATCAGAGGTTGGCTGCTTCTCTCAGCAGAAGTCTTCTTCAGAGTCTAATGTGCATCCAATGTAGCTAGAATCAATGGCAGCAATGTTGACAATCACTTGTAAGAGTGGCTTTTGATTTAGCAGTGCACAATATCTTCCAATACGTTTAGCATCTTTATGAAGTTAATTATTTATATTTTCTCTTTCTTATCTGAAGCTTTATGTGTATAACTGTGGTGTTATTTTAACAGAGAGAGACAGAATGGCATGATAGACAAAATAAGAAAGACATTTCAGAAGAGGAAGAAAAGTTAAGTACAGATGACATTGTGGAATTTTTAGATAGCTGAGCAGAGATCATTTTTTATTTAGTAGACTTTTTTTCAGACAAAGATAAGATTGTTAAGCTCAATCATCCTACCACAATTGTTTAGTAAATTGAATTTCTTGCCTTGTTTGCTACTCATTGAGTTAGTGAATCTCAACAAGTAAGACTTGCCAGAGGGTTTTAAAAAATCAGTGATGGACCCTTGAGAAGTAAGTTTGTACATGTGAAGTACATTACAATAACAACAGCAAGGATGGAAATTGATTATATCTATACACATGGAATTTATTTTATTTTATTATCTCATAGTCTTTGTGGCTTAGATAATATATTAGCCACTTATTGTGGGAGATTTAGGTACAAATTAATTTAAGGAACAAGTAAAATTAAATGACATTTTAACTTAGATGATTGATCGCATTAAAGCTACACTTTGGGGTAATACTCACAATACCTGTTCAGTCTTCTTCATAGCTGGTGGATGGTTTCATAGGGCAAGCCAACACTTGAGTTCTAGGAGGGGCTGTTATTGCACAGTCTGACCTCCTCCTTAACTTTATAATTTCAGCACTGACCTTGTACAGCTCTTTGAGCTTTGGTGTATCTTTGGGGAAAATGTATATCCTTGATGTGAAACCCTCAGGAAAGGGATGTGACTTTAGGTGCTTTGTTCCAATGAGAAATGCTTTTTGCTATTTGAACGGTGCCTTATTTCCCATCTGGATGTTGTTTATTTTGGCTTTCAATTGCCCTACCTAGTTGAGTGACTTTGGCAAGACTAAAGAGCCTTATTTCTCAGTTTATTTCTCTATGTATGTATTTTTAAATCAGAGTCAGTTCTCCTCTTGTCTTCTCTTCAATAAATTAATTAAGCTAACCACTTCCCTATTACTATGTAATGGTGGCACATGCGTATATTAAATAATCTTGTTTATATTCTCACTCAGAGCACCATGCACGTGAGCTCGTGCTAAACTCATACTCTTGAAATGCGTACTAGAACCTGGCATGCTATATAGTGATCCTCCATTTATAGAGATTTTTGTAATCCACTCCCTGGTTGGTTGTTAAGTAGTTTGTTAAGCAATAAATAGATTTGTAGAATGCTAATGCTTAAGCTCAAGCATCAATCAGCATTAACATATCCTGGCAAACCTGATGCTTTACTGGCCTGTATTCATTTTATGCCGAACTCTTCAGTAGCACTGGCTTTGCAAGAACTACCTACCACCCTAAAATAACTTGCAAAGAAATGAGCAAAATATTCTCTGCCTTGCAGACCACACTATTAACTATTGATGAAGAACGTAGTTGTTGTTCTTATGTGTAACAATGTAATATTTTAGCAGTTAAAAAGTAACCCAAATAATCAGAAAACTCCGTAACATTTTTCGGAATCGCATTCACTCATGTCTACTGTTGGTCACTGAATGGAATTTTTATCCAAATGCGTCTTTTAAAATATTTCTGCATCTTTTAGTTCATAAATATTTCAGCCAAATTTCTTTTGTTTATTGTGCTGTCCTTTAAACCATTTTTCTCTTTCCTTGGAAAATACAAGAGGGATAAAAGTTACTGAGTTTTAATGAGTATTATTACCTCGATAGCATCTTTCCCCCCCAGTATCACAGACTCTTTCTCTGCCCTCTGCCCTTTGCTAGGAGGGTATCAGAATATACAAGGTTTTTTCCATTTCCTCTCCATAATCCTGAGAGTTGATGATAATCTTCAAAGGGGCTTCTGTAGTCTGATGGCAGTCAAAAGACAAATCCTGATGATTTCCAATTTGTCTTGGGTTCAAGACATTTGGGAGGAGTGTGCTTCAGAAACTCCAGCTTGTTCACTTAACCCAAGTTCATATACAACACCAAACAAACTCAAAATTAATACATTTTGTTACAGCAAAGCAAAAAGTTGTGTTCTGGAATGCCAAATTGGGAGCAAGGTATGAAAGACAGAAACTGCAAAACTGCAATTGCAGTTGCAAAACTGCACCTCCAGATCATTCCTAGTGCTAAAGCTCCTCTCTAAAGCTGTTGTTTGATTTTATGGAATGATCCACAGCAAAGCTGGCTCACAGTGTTGCTGCCTGAGGGAATGGGAATGGACAGTGATGAGAGGCAGCGATGCCTTTGGCCAGCGTGGCTGCCTAGGACTGCATAATGCCAAACCGTATCTGGGCTAGTCACCTAAGGGCATAGTAATCCTCTCATTGCTTTGGCTCCTTGTTTTATAGTTTCATAGGTAGAACCCATCTCATATTTTGGAAATTTGTACAGGAGCAACTTTGTACAACTAGTCTTTTGAAGGGATTACATATATCAGCATTAAAGGGGCCAATCCTTGTATCAAAATTACTCATTTATGGTATAATTTCAAGGAGTTACTGAGTATGTGTAACTAGGGTTTTGTTTTCATGATATTACATATGAAGAGTATTATGTACTTTTGCCATCCATATTACCCACATGTAGGTTGCAAATAGAATTAAGTCTATATTACATATAGACTTTTGTTTTCAGCTTCTCCCAAGCCCCAAAAAATTGTGAAAGAGTTGCTGTTCCTAAGCATTACTCACTCTGTAACTACTAATGTAGCCAGACTTTCTCCAAACCTTCTCCTTAGCACCTTCTCTCTGTTGAAGTCCTCTTTGGAGCTCAGATTTGAGAGCTTCATAAGAGTTATTTCTTCTTTCCATAACTAGTGGTGATGATGGTAGGAACTGATAACTTCAGAGTTAACTCAGCAGTACATGCGTACTAGTCTTTTAGCAAGATGATTGCTTTGTGAATAGAGGAGAATAGCTAGTTATCTCCAAGGGTATTTTGAACCTTTCTGCCATTAAGATGCATTCCTCCAGCACAAGAAAATTTTTAAGTACTTGGTAAAATCAACTTTTTTTGGTAACCATTTGCATGGTTTAAAATAAATATTTTAAGAGTATCTTGATTACACTAACTGCAGCTTGATTATTTAAGGTTTTACATCTGTATTTGACTACTGTGTGATGTACCAAAATGCAAAATGCTGACATTTAATTTGCATGTCATTTAAAAGGACATACCAGAGCTGAATCTCTTCAGGACTATTTAACCAAAGAAAGACTTGGACTTCCTAAAAATTCCTCCTGAATATGCACATAAGAGACTGTTCTAATCCAGGTGTATGGAGCATCTTAAATTTAGATCTATTGAATTTATGCCTGCAGCCCAGTCAGGTAGGGAGGATGATCCTCATGGTGTGCTGTATTTTCTCTCTCCCCAGGAATGCGACAAGGTAATGACTTTGGCACACAGTATCGCTCGGCCATCTACACGTTTTCTCAGGAACAGATGGAAGCTGCCTTGAGATCTAAGGAAGAATATCAAAAGGTAACATTGGGCAGGGCGTGGAATTGCTTCACATATGAGCGAACGTCAAAAACGTTACCAATTAGCACAAAGTCACTTCTTGTGCTGTGCATTGTCTCCATGTTGCTATTGGAGTTCTTCGTTCCAGTATTGAACTTGCATCATATTTACTTTAAATGTCAACTTTTATGAAATTTTTTTTTAGTGTGTGAGTCATTTTATAACTATGCAGAAAGAAAAATAGTTACTTGTGCAGAGATATTTTTAATCCCTTTTAGAGACTTTATGTGGGTGCACCAGAGCAGAAGTCTGTGATCTTAAAGCTATTCAAACATATATGGACTCCATACTCTGAAGAGTGTACCCGAAATCTCAGACCCAAGAGTTCTTGAACATTAAGGGAAAGTCCTCATCAATATTTGAGCTTGGTAGCTCAGGATCACCCACCTGCTGCTTGTAAGATGCTTCTATCTAGCCATTCCATGAATGTCTTTGATTAAATGTGACAGCCCATGACTTAGTAAGACTATTTGTTTTGACAGTAGGGTTTGAGTGAGACAACATCGACCATTTCCCTTTCTATACACAGTCCTGTCTTTCAGCGAAGATGGATTCTGTCTCTTCCTTGCCACATAAGCTGTTATTTGGCTAAAGGCAGAGGGATTAGTGTCCTGCAGTGTTACTGCATTGTGATTGCTGTCTTATCTGCCTAGTGGTCTTGGCAATGCAAGATCCAGGTTCTACAGCAGAGATATATAAATTCTTATACGAAAAAAACTACTCACCTAGGACATCAGTAGACGGTAACTATTAAGTAGTGCTAAACAAACATCAGCTTTCATGCATTCATGTATACTATGACTTCACTAAAATGTTATGTTAAAGAACCAAGGTTTTTGATGAAGATTTCATGTTAAGAGAAAACAACTGTTTTTCGGAGAGTGAGGGTATATCAGTCAGAAGCATCTACCAAGGTCAGAAAAGAAGGTGCACGTGCTGAAGTCTTGTGCAGCAGCTTGGTTTTCGTACATGTGTGTATGACTTTGGTGGGCTGAGCTCTCTGTGCACTTGTAAGGCTGGTTTAAACATGCAGTTGGCATTATTTTGCATGCAAAGAGATGCTCTGAACTGCAAGTAACTAATTTGCAAGTCGTTCTTGGCAGTGTGATAACTGTGCATGTAAATTAAGTGTTCAATGACATATATATTTTCTCATGAGTAGCTGAAGACATGGGGATAAGTCAGTCTTGCAGGTGTTTATCTTTGTTAACGGAGTGGTTTCTGAAGGTTCGGTATTCATATTTATCATGCAGAACTTCTTTCTACTCATTGTTTACCTTAGATCCATTGCTTTTCCAAATTGTTTTTGTTCCTTTTTGTTAGCATCTGCTGACCATATCACACTGTAAATCTTACAGCTTTCAGTTTGCTTTCCCAACTCTATTATTCTTTACTGTTATTTGTCATTAAATTAATACTGACTTGAAAGCAAAATTATGATGTAGGAGATTGCAATATGATATTACAGAAATTTCCTTCATCAAATAGATTTTCTTAATGGCACAATTTAAAATTTACCTACTTGAAGTCTATCACCATTTGAAAAGTGTGTATAATTAGTACATTTATATAATTAGACACAACTCTGGAAGTAATCACATGTAGAGTTTGTTTTTGCACTGAAGTGGGGGGAAGGAAGGGACTGTGTCGCCAACTAAGGAAAAGAACAAATATGTACTGAAATTCCTAGAGGATATGTGGTTTCTATGTATTATTAACAACAATATCTACAACATTTTCTACTGTGGTATTGCAGTAGCAGTAGAATTGTATGGGAAACATACTGAGCAAACAATATGTTCAGGAATCCCTTTTCATATTAAATGTTTTGCATTACATTATTTTAATGTAAATGTAATACAACCATGTTCTTTATTATTGCAGTAATTTAAAATAAATACCAAGCTCTTCTGGCAGTGACATGTGCATATCTGTGCACCTGATAATGACAGATAAAAACATGTGGGGATGGCGTAACACTTGATTTTTCCATGATAAGTAGTGGTGCATACACCAAACAGAGGGAGGACTAATAAATATTAGGAATACAGTAACTGCAGTATGTATGAGTGACTCTAGAGTTTTTTGGCACAGCAAATGGATAAAACCAAAATGTGGTTTATTTGTTTGTTCACTGAATAATTGTGCATGTGCTCTTAGATGTCTTTTTGAGCTGAGGACCTGGAAGAGAGCTAACAGAAAATTATGTGTTTGCTAGATTTGCTAGAGGTTTTTTTCGTAAAGACATGTAAGGTTGTTAAAGGAAACATTTTGTTTACTGAGGGTCGAAACCATCCAACTCCAAGGTTTGTATTGTAAATTCCTGCCTCCAAGACAGGCTAGCCTGAAGCGCTAGCTCCTCTAGAAGTCATCCATGTCCAGGTCTGTCTACCTTTAGCAAGCAGGATGGGCTGAGAGGAGCAGATCCGCAGAACAAAACAGTTTGTGCTGGGGACCCAGAGCACACTATGCATTTCAAGAGGGTTTCCTCTTCAGTAGCTCTCGTTTGGTCCTCTGAACCATGTGCCGCTAGCAGGTGGAAGTCAGTGGTGCATTTCTGGTTTAGCTCCATCAAAAGGAACTGGGTTCATCCATCCCAAGACCAGTCTGTGATGTGAACCAAAGCATGATTTTAATGGGTTTAGTGGACATGATGGTGTTGGGTAGAAGATTGGACTTGACGATCTTTGAGGCCTCTTCCAACCATAACAATTCTATCATTCTATGATAAGTGACAATGATCAGGACATTTGTTACAAACAGACACTTCTGCTCCAAACTGAAGCACTTAGGTAGCTTAGACATTTAGGGTAGTGCTATGCTTGAGGGGAGAAAAACTGTAGTTAAGTGCACCACATCCGTAGCTCCTACCAGCCTACGAGTAAGAATAATAATGGGCATTGAGCCCAAGTATCCTGCAGGGTTACATCTATTTTGAGTTGTGAAACTTGTTGCCGATTCATGCAGCTGTTTTAACAGCTGACAAATGGCAATACAGCAATGAATATGCATTGAGCCACACGCCTTTAGCTGTTGATGAAGCTGGGAGCATACAGTCAGAGTTGGCTAGTGGTAATATATATTATAATACAATAGTGCTACCGGTAAATTGTAACACAATGCAAGTGTAATCAGAAAAACATAAAATGAGGGCCAGGGCTTGGTGAAAGTACTGCAAATGAGCTGTTCCATCAGTTTTGCCTGAAGCTGAAGTTTTTTAATACAGTTGAACCTGAGGTTACTCAATTTTCAAGACAGTTGCTAGGCTGGGTTTGGTTTTCAAATGAATTATCTAGGCAATAATCCAAATAGTGAAATCAGGGTGGGAAGAAGTATGTATTTATTTTTTCTGAATCAGAGGCCTACATTTGTTTTGTCAAACTCTAACACTGGGTTCTCAGGCTCCAAGAATATACTGAGTCCTTCCCCACCGTGTTTGGCTTATATTAAAGCAGCACCCCAAAAATGCTGACATCTCTGCATCCTCATGTAAGACAGCACTGAGAATGAACGTTATGCACAGAGAGCAAAAGGCAGGTCTATTACTTTGTTACAAAAGCAAATATTTGGCAGGAGAACATCCTTCCACAAAGCAACTAAAGGGCCTCTCTGTGAATCATTATGAAGGAATCGAGTCTCGAGCTCTTGACAGAGGTGTTGGGTGATGTGAGCAGGTAATAAGCTCCTGATTTGTTATAGCCAAGAGAAGTTGGTGGGGAGAGTTGCTGTCATTTGCTCTTATAGTTTTAATCTGGAGAGAGTAATAAGGGCTCGAAGAGACAGGAGTATAGAAATATTGAGATTTTATGAAGACATTAAAAATGTGGCCTTTACTAAAGTTCAGAGAACTGGAATGGAGTGGTTTTTTGCTGAACATATAGGAAATGTAGATGAAGCACAGAAGTAACTTTTTTTTTTGCTTAGATATGGATGGAGCTTTGCTGGAAGTAATGTAATACTTTTTTTTTTTTTTTTTAATGATTTGGACTGTAAGGCTATAATCTTGGAAAGTTTCTCTGCAGGACTAGATTGTGATGCTGATAGAAATCCTCTCTGAAATCTAAACCAGCTGGCCAACAGACTGAGAAAACAGATCAAATAAAACAATAACTGCACCAAAACCAGAATTACAAAGAAAAAGAAAGAAAGAAGCAATGCTAGTTGTTTGCTATGGGGCTTGAAAATATGTTTAAGAAGTTCAAAAAGTATTGTAAGTAGAGGTGAAAAGATTAAATTTAAAAATTAAAATTTAGTACAAATATAAAAAATCCAGGCAATCGAAACTAACCCATTGCCCAATCTGTTAGTCTGGAGAACAGTCTCTTTGTGGAATTGTTGGGATGTGTAAAACTGTAGGTGGGTAGGCATTCTGGAGATCTTGAAGGGAACAGTATACGATGCTCAGAGGAGAGACTGGATCACACTGCAGTCATAGCAAATATGTTTCTGTGAAGGGCTGAAGAAGATGCTCAGTTAAATGTCTGAACTATCTTCAAATTGATCAAATAGTCATTTTTCTTTGCATTTTGTCAAACAGCATTTTCTGTTGATTTAACAAAAGACTTGGCCTGAAGAACATGAATTTGACCAAACATCTAAAATTTCTTCTTTAATCAAGCAACTAAAGGATTAATATGCTGGACTAAATTCCCTATTGGCGTAACTCCACAAAAGCTGATGTATTTTGTGCAATGGGTTAGTTTTACCCATATGCTTTATTGCGTATTTATTCACATGCAGCCGAGAAGGGAATCCTTCAACTGGTAACTTCAAATGTACTGCGCGGTTTCACAGATGTAGGTGTTGGAGCATCTGAACCTGAAACTTGTTTGGTTTTTCTCTGTGCTTCTGTTTTTTTGTTCTGCACAAGTTTTACAGTGATGGTTGGGGTTTTTTGGGAGTGGGCTGGGTTCTTTTGTTTTGTTTTGTTATTTTTTTAACTTTCAAAGCCCTGAAGAGTTACATGATAAATCATGGGTGATAATGGGAAGAATGGGGATGAATATTATTTTACATAGTTGTGGATTTACAGTGCTATCATTCATTTGCAATGGCCAAATTTCAGTGTGACTGCAGTTACATGATAGCACTCTTGATCCTGAACTTGCTCACAGGAGGTCTGGGAACACACTGTATTAACACTGAAATTGCCTTCGGTACTTTACATCAAACTCCTCTGTGGTGGGATAGTCAGATCCCATGTCTTAGCCGAGAGCTGAAAACCAGCTGCTGGCCAGTGGGTGAAGCTCCCTTATTTCCCTGTGAAGTAGAAGTGCTTGCACGAGCAGTACTACGCTCCGCTGGAAGGACGCGGCTAGCCAC